AGAATCCGCTGTTGTCTTCTGGTGGAATCGACCATAAAATATTTTCACCAAATACTTTATTCAAAATAGTTGGAAAGAGAGGAATGCCTTGTAGTGAATACCGTTAAATCGTGCGAAGAAGTCTTCTGCTTACCGTATTGGGACCCAGATTAATACGTAATATCGTCTGACAGAATTCGTTAGAACAAGACACCATGAGTTATAGAATAGCTCATAGTCATAATAAAACAACAGAATATATTAGTAGAATAGTATGCTATTTCTTACTTTAACGATGTCGGTCACATGACAAAGTAAAGTTTAATGAGTCTCGAAACCCTACTTATTTACGAAAGTAAAGTTTAGTACTGGTCCATCTAGGTCACAGTACAGCAAAATGAGGACGTCTTCGCACAATCCAACAATCACCACTTTAAGACAATCCACCTTCGGTTTTCAGTGTTACGAACCCACGAAGCCTTGCCGACAAACTTTTCTTCGAAATGAAAAGTCAAGTTTCTTAATTTCTTCTAACTCCATCTTTGCTTGATCTCACGGGAAGATAATGATGGATTTCCATTGTTCTGCAGCGTCTTAGTTTTACTACGTCATTTATTTTGGCTTAGTTCGTGAGACATCCTCTCTTGTATCGGGGGAAAACTGGCTAAGATTACATCAGTCATTTTACTGGCCTCAAGTTAACACTATGCCACGAGACTTCCTGGTTTTATCCTACATGCTATAAATACTTATAAGTAAAAACGAGAATATATAGATATCGATTTATATATATATATATATCAGGTAGGGCTAATTTATTATTCCTTTCTGCCCAATTTTACCTTCTAAATGAAAAAGCTAATGACATGAGATTATTAGTGAACTCCTTGAAACCTACCTTCCACTCTTCTATGCAACATTTCAGTCTGCACAATTTGATCTTCCCTTTTCAACTTGCAAGCGAATGTAGCAACAGAAGTACAATTTGTTGAATATTCTAGCTTGACAGTTGACTTTTTCTTCCTACCTGCACCAAATACAGCGTAAGCGGCCAAAGTAATAACATTAAACATCAACCTGAAGTTTTCCTAGATCCTCGGAGGGAGCCTGCAAGCTGTTCTATAGAGTGTGGATTTGTCAGTATGCCCATCTACACTTCAGTTACAAAGTATAGCCAGCTGTGGAATGATGTTTTCACAATAAAAGGGTAGACATTTTAACTATGCTTTGTGCAGATGTTATTCCGCATGATTAGATTAATTGTCTTTTTGGTCCTCCCTGAGTGTGGGCTCGAAGAGAGTCGCTTTCACCCCCGTTCCTGTCTTCCCTCCCTCAAGCTGAGCCGTCTCTAAATGGCGCCGGTGTCAGTTGTCGGGACTCTGGCATTTCTGTACCGAGATAGAATTGAAAGCGCCCGAAGGGAGGCAGAGTTACATGCATCTTTAAGTGGCCGCGGCACCAAATTTGCCCTAAACACTTCAAGACACGATTGGCAATTAGTAATGTTCAACTGTAGTTAAGTTGTGCTTCATTGTGCCGCAATTGGGATGGCTGTCAGTTGGATATTTCGTGACAAAACACCTCTACATGTGCACAACTCAGAGCATCTTAAATTTGGTTTAATCAACCGATCCCGAATGGTTACCACAACATGCACTAACAGTGTCCGCTATTCCCAAACAGAAGCAGACTTTTATCACCTTAAACCAAATAGCGTGAATACATCTCGTATATTTGCTTTACTGATAGACTTGAAAGCCTACTTAGAAACGAAAAAAAAGAAATTCAAAGGACAGAATCCCTAAACAGATGCAAACTTTGCTGATCTGTGAGCATTAGAGCAATCACTGCCCTCGGAAATCGTCATGTCTCGAAAGGATCGCTAAATGCCGAGGCTGCCTGAGTTATGCCCAGCCTCCGTATTGGACGTCGATCCGACCTCGACTCGGAGGAACTCTAGCCCAGGACGATCCGAATAGCCCGAGACTTTGGTCGTAATGGGCTTGATGACTCAGACAAAAAACTTTCGAATCAAGCATCAAATAAAGTTAGCAACACACACGGATCAATTGAAATAAAAGGTTTGCAAGACTGAGCTGACAGATATGTTTGGAAACCTTAGTTTTGGCTGTGAATCCCGCTGTATGTGCTGCTTAGATTAGGCCAAGGGCGAAAATACAGTCCAACTTGAATGAATATATATTCATAATTCAGGATAGAGCGAAATCAGGTTCTTTCCTAATCATGTTTTTCTAATTAAAACAATAAATTGAAATCAAATGTACAATTTAAATAGGAATTATTTAATTAAAACATAATTGAGGCATCTTACTTTAATACAAATATCTCTCTCGTTTGTAGGTAGATTTTAAAGACTACTAGTAGATCAGACATATGAAATGTGTTCACCCATTTTGATTTAGGAAGATGAAAGGCTGGCAGTTGAATTCTTCCACAATGATATGAGTAGACCTCACATTTCCGTTGAATTTTACATAGCCTTGTTTCCCAAAAGGTATTCTCATCCCGGTTGGACTGTAGTTTAGACCTCGCTTTTGTCTCATTACTGCCCCAAGCGAGACTCAAACCATGAAAATTCAGCGCATAATCTCAACATGACAACCATTGAGCCACGTTGCCACGAGTGGCCTTGAGTCACAGAGGAGATGAAAATTCGAAGTAAGCTCAGGCATTTGCCATTCACCTTTCTGTGGTGGAATTGTGGAGGTACCAAAATTGTGTTTAGTATAGCAATCAACTACGTTACATTTTTCTAGTTTCTAAGTAGGTTTTCGAGACTACCAGCGAAATATAGATACGAAAATTATTTTCCTTATTTCGTTATAGATTTAAGTCCCGCCGGGGGTGCTGATGAGACCTTGACGAAATCGAAACTACGTTCCACAACTGCCTGGATGCGAATACCATTTTGGAAGTATGGCCATATGAAATTAAACGAAAACCTAATGGCTGCTCATTTTATTTTGGGAAAATTCAACTACCAACTCTCCATCACCAACCTTTAATACAAATATACTGTAAAAAATAGTGGATGATCAGCATGATCTTTATGTTTCACCTTGCAGCGGGAGAGTTCATTCTCTCTTGCTCTTGCAAAAGGAAGCTGATAATGGGGTGAGGATTCTGTGAGCTCATTTATGACCTCTGCGATTGTTCGATTATCTATCAGAACTTAAGGCAGCCGATAGATAACATTGACGAATGTCACTAGAAGAGAAAAGTTGTCATTCTAATAGAAGTGGGTTGACCTCGTTGTCGCAACTTGGTCTTGTTTTCAGGGAGACCATGTAGAACGCACCT